GGAGCAGCGCTGGGCTGTTTAAATCACGGACAAACAGGATCCCATATTCTTGATTTTTAGTTCACAAACACTTGTTGTAATGACTAACTACTCCTGACATGTTGGAGATGTTAGCTCTTTATACAGTAAAGTTACAGGATACAAATAATATCAGGCTGATCCTGCCACGATTTGTTCCCCCGATTCAAATCACAGACAAACAGGATCCCACAGCTGTTTATGTTTTTAAACCCATTTTGCACAGAGAGGCATTTTTTGATTTGATATCAATGTTGAATATTATTACACAGGAAAAAACAACTACAGTAAAATAATGACAGCGTGACGCCTCTGCCTTTGTAAACAGAGGGACAGTAACTGCGTGTAAAACCTGCAGACAGTCAGATTAACAGGATTTTGTCTCTATCATTCTGCAATTCATCTCATGTAAACAATAACGTGCACACAGCGTGACGTGAAAAAGGCACAAACCTTTGATGTTGCGTGACTCTGTATTCCTCGTCCACACGTAAACGCAAAAAATGAGTTTAAAAAATCTCAGTTTTCGGTGATTCCAAACACCGTTTACGTGGACGAAACAGCTGTGTGTTCAAAATCACCCATGTAGGTGCAGACGCAGCGTAACAGAGTTAGTAGTTTATTTTATTACTGCCTGTAATTTATTGCAGATTACTTGTATTTGCTTAATTGTTTAGTAAATGTTTGAGGAGTGAAATAAACCGCAATGGGGGGGGGGCGAACATTTTTGTAAAACTTGTAAAACAAAGGGGGGCCCAGCAAAATAAGTTTGGGAACCGCTGCTCTAAGGCATAGTCAAGCCCATAATTATTCATACCCCTGGCACATTTTGACTTAAAGTTACTTTTATTTAACAAGCGAGGGTTTTTTTTCGTTTGTATTTGGACTGGAAATGACACAGGCGTCTCCCAAAAGATAATAAGACGATGTACAAGAGGTATCATTGTGGGGAAAAAAATATTTCTCCGCTTTTATTTAGATTTGATCAGAAAGTGTCATGTCCAAATTGATTCATACCCTTCACAAACTGTCAGTCTCTGGGAAAATCCAAAATTTATATCACCATTTCAAATAGTCCAAGCAACAGCTTTTTTAACCAAATCAACAGGCGAAATTCAATTCAATTTTATTTATACAGCGCCAAATCACAACAACAGTCGCCTCAAGGTGCTTTATATTGTAAGGTAGACCCTACAATAATACATACAGAGGAAAAAAAACCTCAACAATCATATGACCCCCTATGAGCAGCACTTTGGCGACAGTGGGAAGTAAAAACTCC